CACCCACTTTTCACTATTTATGTTATGAGTCCTATGTAATAGGGGGTGAACCTATTGCCATATATCAAAGTATTACTGGGTGTGTAAAAACCTCAGTAGTAGCACGAAGTCTGGAAATGTGTACATATGGGGAAATTGTATAGGAAAGCACGACTTTTTAATAACGATACATGATAGATTCAGAGAGATATCTGGTTGTTAAGTCTATTTCGTGTCGTGGACGCCCGTAGGTTTAAGACGCCCGCTTCTCATGCAAGTACCAACGTGACGTTTTCCGAGTTATATCTAGTTTTTAAGATTATTTAGATTCCACTGATAGACAGTGAAGAAAACTATCATGGGGAAACCTTTTTTTTTGAGAGGGGAAATTATCCAATGACTTCTCCCGCCCGGGTGAGGCGGGAGGGAGTGTCAGACTCTTACTGACTAAGAGCCACCCCGTTCCTACTCCTGCACTTCGAGCCAGAGCCCCGGCAACCCGTTAAGTCTTCCGCGGCTCCGTATATCGTGAGGAAACCTGAATTTATAACTTCTAAATTTGAAATCGCGAACCTGCATTGAGCAAGCATGGTGATTAATGCTCAAACCCTTTCTGTGCTAGAAGAAGAGGCTTTTGTTCAGCAGTGACCGTTTATAGGCTGTTGATGTTAAAGCTCCAGTTAATCAATGTTTTAAATTATTGTTTTCGGTTTACTCACGCAATAATTTGACGAGGAACTTGACTAGTTTCAAGCCATGCTAGAGGCTCATATTTATGAGCAGCATTTCGCGACCCGTGACGCGGCGACTTTGGCGCTGCTACAGCGCGACAATCGCCGCGATAATTTATTTAGTATGTCTCACGAAAGTTAAAATTCAATCAATGTTTTATTTACAGCAGAGCCAGTTTTTCCATTTGCTAAGACTTTTTCTATCGTATCCAGTTGGTTCAATGATTTTGTTGCCGAAAAGTCTAGAAACAAGTTAAAATTTGAGCAAACTAGACCTAAAAAGGTTTGTCTGGTCTTCATGATGGATGAGAGTACTCTCGTTTCATATTACGTAAGCCTTTTTCTTTCTGAAACTGATTTTATATTGGTACATTGTTCATGTTCATTGTTCAATAAGCGAGGGAATTTATGGAGCAGACTCGTAGTCCAGAAGTGAATTATGTAGATAAATGTAATTGGTATATAAAAAATATAATCATAACATCACGCCTTTTATCCCCGAAGGGGTAGGCAGATGTGAACACAGAAATAAGACTCACTTTTCACTATTTATGTTATGAGTCCCATGTAATAGGGGGTGAGCCTATTGCCATATACCGGGCATATTTCCAGACTCCGTGCTACTACTGAGATTTTTTTTAAACCCAGTAATACTTTGTATGACCTGGGAATCGAACTCGCCCTTGCCCGGCAGTCGCACTTGCGACCACTCGGCCAACGAGGCATTGAAAATATTTATTTATAACTGTTGAAGCTATTCATACAACCGACCATGCTTCATGAATGAAGTTGTGTACTATGGGCATAAATGTACCAAAATTGTGCACATAAGTCTCAGTAAATTAATTAAGTTTAAATTAAATATGTCTTGTCTGGGTAGAAGGCCTAATAATGTTTCGGTTAACCGAGGCCTGAGTAAAGGTCACATTGAAAGCTTAAGATATGGCAATGACCTTGAGTTTAGAGGAACCGATCAAATACAGAGTTTATTTTTGCTGCAATGACGATTATGTTTGATGGTATTTCAAAAATAGTTTTACAAATAAAATTATTTAAACGAAAATTCAGTAGTAGCACGGAGTTTGGAATTGTGCTAGATAAATGGCAATAGGCTCACCCCCTATTACATAGGACTCATAATATAAATAGTGAAAAGTAGGTGTTATATAATACAGTGGTTTTAAGTGCCATAATGTGTACATCTGCCTAACTCTTCGGGGATAAAAAGGCGTGATGTTATGTTAAGTCATGTGTATAATTAATTTTTCAAAAATTGAATCAACCGAAACGTAAATTAAAAGAGAAACTTATAGTCTCCTCGCTTAAACTTTTTAAAAACTTTTTTATTCTTTATTCCTTTCCAATATTATTTTCACTTGCAATGTTTATCTAAAGCAGTACTATTGATGCTATATCACATATGAGAAACCTTGTTCTCAAAACGAATTTTCAACTATATTTTTCTTCAATAAATGTAACTTTAGAAAATCTTGCTTTCGAAGTTGATTTCAAAGTGTACTGCTGATTGGAATTAAATCTCCAGTTAGTCCACAACTTGGCGTTTTTCAAGTGTGATCCCTATTACCGGCGGAATCGAACTCTTTGTACATTCAACAGGACTGATTTTATCTTTATATGAAATTCTATTTTGTTAGTAGATCTTTGTCTTAAATTCTGATGAAATTTTGATTAAATTTATTAAACATAACATAACATAACATCACGCCTTTTATCCTCGAAGGGGTAGGCAGAGGTGCACATTATACCACTGTACAATGTAACACCCACTTTTCCCTATTTATGTTATGAGTTCCATGTAATAGGGGGTGAGCCTATTGTTATATACCGGGCACAGTTCCAGACTCCGTGCTACTACGAGAATTTTTTAAAAACCCAGTAATACTTTGCCCGACCCGGGAATCGAACCCGAGACCCCTTACCCGGCAGTCGCAATTGCGACCATCCGGCCAACGAGGCAGTCATTAAATTAAATTTATCATTATGTCCTTATTCCCGTAAAATGTCACATGTAATTATTTGAGGAGAAACTCAACTAGTTTCAAGTCATGCTAGAGTCTCATATTCATGAGCAGCATTCCGTGATCCGCGATGCGGCGACTGTCTCACGAAAGTTATAACATGAATTTTTATAAACTACACATGTTACGTTATAGAAGAAATATTGGTACTAGGTTAAATCGATACATAGATGGGACACTATTATTTAAAAAAGTCATATCAGATAAGTATGACAAATAAATATATTGAAACATTTACAAACAAACAAAAATTAAACGAAAGTATTTTTTTTTGTTTATAGTCTCGGTATCAATTTGTTGAATTTCCAATACGATATTCTATGTATTTGCCCTTTTCAAAATGAAGACATACCTCATCATTTATTTTTACTTAAATAGGTATGCAATTTTCTGCATAGTTCCATAGCCTCTACCTTATCCATGGGAGACAGGCGTGAAGTTATGTAAGTTTGTACGCAATTTTCTCACTAACACGACTGAAAAACTATATCATAGTTTTCTATGAAATAGTTTCAACGTTGTTTCACAAATTGATAGCTCTCCAATTATCCTTTGAAGCGAGGTACTACGACAAAACCATTGATTTAAGTTACCCTCTTTATTTGCGATAAATACTCGAAAGTTTAGCGAATTTTATTTACGTCAAGTTTGAGATATTACGTCGTCCTCGAGTTTTCATTAGGCTTCCTCATAAATAAAGCCTAAGTTAAGACCTAAGTAAAGTACTGTAATTTTTTACGAGTACTTGATTGAATAAAATACAGTCGTTAGATATTTCTTTACAACTATTGATACTTCTTGGATAATTCAAAATGTTCGTGTGTTTAATAAACATAGATATATATGTTCATAAAACATTATTGACGCAAAAAATTCAGGCTAGAACATAATTTAATAAGTAATTTAATTTTCCACTAATCAATCACTCAAAACTATTAATCATGACAAGATATTTTCGCTACGCTGAAAATAATAAAGAGCAGAATCATTTGCTATTCAAACCATTTTCTAGGCCTATTAAAATATTGAAGGCAAAAATTAAATAAAAATGTAACTAAGAAGTTTTAATTCCATCAGCCTTGATGTCACAAGTTTACTTCCAAATAAACATTAAAATTCCCAACGGTAGAGGTCACGTCACCAACACAAAATAGCCAGCTTAAATTATTTGCATCACAAAACCGGCCAGTCCCCGGCACCCTCGGGCCCGAATGTGACCAAGAAATTATACTTTTGCATTAGCTAGCAGTTTCGCTTAGTTAGCCGGCTACATAAACTTTTCACATTTATTCCAGAAAGTTCGACCATTCAGTTCCCGCATCTGGCCTCTAGGTACCTCCTCTACAACTAGATTTGATTGTATGCTCAACGAAAGTGAAGTCAGATTGTAATAAACGACCGTTGTAATTCGAATAAATGACACAAAAGAACGATTCAAGCGAAAAATGTTTAGGAACTTTCGGGACTTCTGTAGGTTTTAATTATATTCCCAAAATTGATTGGATATTCCAAATTTTCTCGGAGTTTCATAGTATTGTTCTACAACTTTTGTGTGATGGTATAATTTTCTTGTATTATATCCTCGATTCGTTTCACGAATCATTTCATTTTATTAATTCTGTGTAGGTACACTTTTGTGGTGAGTTAGTAAAATAATTTATTATACTAAACAAACACGACGCGGTTTCATTGCTGTTTTTACAAGGTTATTGTTCTCTGAGAAATAAAAATGATTTAGTGTGACTGTCGCGAACAGTTCTAATCTTACTTTTGCAAACCGACTGCAGTTTGCTCTTTGAAATTGAATGTTTGTACCAACATTGGTTGTCACGGAGTAACAAATGATTGCGAAACAATATCCAATTATGTTTGTCAAGTTCAGTAGTTGCGTTAAATAACAAGTAATTACGGCACCGTTGGCTGTAGGCCAAGGGGCATAGTGCCAATGCCCTGAGCAACCTGTTGACTTGCGAATTGGTAACATTGTTTATGAAACGCAAAGAAAGGTAAAGGCTGCTATGAACTACATTTTGTAGTAGCATTAACAGCCATCGACCTTTTGGAACCCCTGACAGTATTGGTACTTTATTCTATTACTAACAACATTTATGATATCTGTATGTTGAAGGCAACGGGAATCATACATTAACGTTTTTACAAAATGTCTCCCTTTTCACATCATCAAAATTGGTGACCGGGTTTTTTTAGTTTAGACCTGTAAAAGTATCCTAAAAAATGTTCTATGACTGACCTGGACATGGTAAGGTGCCACCTTCTCCTCGCCCTTGATCTCCACGTTGATATGCAGTCTGATGGCTCCGGACACCGCAGACTTGTCCGTTCGTTTCTCCAAGTTGTACCACACGTCCATCTCGCCTGATAACGTTCGTACCTGAAATATTGATAGGATTAGATTTTGCCCAACAAAATCACGAGTAACGGACGAACAAATACGGCAAGTAAGGCTCTAAGGGGTCATAATGTACTACATAAATCACGTTTAGATATTTGTCTAGAAATCATAGGTTTTAATTGAACCACGTAGTTATAAACAATGTCCATCTCCAACGACAAAGAATGCTGATGGCATTAAATCCTCTTTATGCAATAGGGATGATGACAGAGTATAAAAATTAAAAAACCAATTAGTTCCTCAGTTAGGCAATTAAAAAATATTAGACACGTATTTTTATTTTTCGTATAATAAAATGATACTTAGATAAAACGAAACAGAGTTTAGGAGTGGGGGCTAAAACGTCATTTCTACGTATAAAATGTACATAGAAGTGACGTCACGCGACATTTTAAATCAATATATCATCGAAAGTATTAAATCAATTCAAATCAATATACCATTTAGTAAAAACATAAAAAAAACGTGTGTAATGTTTTAAAATAACCTACCAGACGGACATTAAAATAAAAATTAGTCATTTACCCTATTGTAAACAAACAGTTTTATAATAAATATCATGAGACATTCTGAATTATTTAAAAGTAATCGTTAACCCAGGTAAATACACCGAGCAAAGCTCTACTAGTTTCGAGTCACAGAGGGACTCTTCCTTATGAGCAGCGTGCGCGGTCATGGCAACGTCGCGTAACCTACTAGTAGAGCTTTGCTCAGTATATTTACGTGATTAAACCATTATATTTAGTTAATTTGTAAATAAATATTGTATCAATACTTCGTATTTAGCACACAACTATGAAATTATTAAGATTTAGCTTTATATTTTTGTTATTACAACAATCTTATTTTTAGTTCAAATTTAGTACCTATGTTCAAAATGTCATTAAAAATCGGTTTTTGTGTTGTTAATACATATTCGATTCTAATATTTTACTTCGCCATCATCAAATTGATGCTCTTTTTCTGTGTTGACATACTTGACAGGTCACTTATTCATGTTCATTATTTATTCATTCGAATATTGATTTTGTCCTTTTGTATCCAACACTCAAGCCTTACAATTTATAAAACAGAAACGACTTAAACCACAAAGGGATAAAACAAGTTATACTAACATATAATCTCTAATTTACTTTTCCAAAATGAATTCGAAGTTTATCAGTTGCATCAATCTGCTCTTCGTAAAACAATCGGATGAGTTACTATGCGAAGTGATATTAGCTATAATTCCTTTATAAGCAACATTTAATAAAAATTTAGTTTGAGCACTTCTATTTTGAGGTAAGTTTATTTTTACTAAAACCTTCTCTTAAGTGTAACATACAGTTTTCTGAAAACCGCATCAAAATCGACTTAGACAATCGCGGGACAATCGCTCACAACTATACATATAGGCCAACCTTAGACCCTCCTTCTTTTTTTGAAGTCGGTTATAAACAACAAATTATTCTATCTAATAAATATTTATTACCTTTGAGACTAGACACGGCGAGGGCTTTCCATCATAGTTCAGATGTCAGGATATAACAACAAGACTATGATGAATTGACGTTGTTAGATTACTTTACTATCGTGTTATTTCTGTTGTTAGGCATATATATATTTTTTTGAAAATAAATGGAAAAGATAACAGATCTATCCTTCAATTAATAATACTAAAGTATTTTATGAAACAAAATCTGCCTTTGTTTTAACGCACCTTACTTCTATTCATATTCATATTTATATTTATTTAATCATTTGCAAACATGGGTACATAATATATAGGTGTTAACAAAGTTTATACTTTCTCCACATTTTGCCTTCACTTGGCATGCAAAGATATGTTATAAAAATAATTATATTAATTATATATATAATTATTATGAATTGAATTATTTGGAATGTTGTTGTCTAGAAATACCAGTTCGACGTTTTCAGTTCAGTTCGTGTAATATTATAACAGTTTTGGAAATGTATAATGATTTATTAACATAGCGTAACGCTATGATGTATTAAATCAGAATGAATTCACATAAAAATATTTTTATCACAATAAAAAATTACGTTTGTATGGGCTTACCTCAATGATTGTCTGACCCAAGAAATCATCAGATTCTCTAGTCAACTTCTGGCGTAGTTTTGATTTCAAGTCATTATCTTCATCCCATACTCTCACTTTGATACGATCAGATGAGTTGTGGCATTCACTAGGGAAGAAAGGAAATAATGAAATTAAAATGTACTTATTTTGGTCACTCCTAAAGTACGACCTCTTTCGGTACTTGTAAATTAACTACACAAACACAAGTTGTCTGATTGGGTTTTTGTAAATGTAACCTTTGTTTTTTATAGGAGGGTAAGTAATCTGATGGTAAGTTATTGACACGGCCCATGGATACCCACAACATCAGAGGAGCTTATTGGATATTTGAGGATTGAGGATGAAAGAGAAGAATAAAGATTAGGATTTGGATTAAGTCATATGAAATCTGTCGAATTATGTATCAAGTGTGAGAGAGCCATGCTTCGGTACAGGCGACTTGAGTGGAGCGATACCACGGCCTCACAGAAAACCGACGTGAAATAACGCTTGCGTTGTTTTTTGTCAGGTGAGTGAGGTTACCGGAAGCCAAATTACCCCCTCCCCAGTCTCCCCAATCCCCGAATCACCCACAATCCTGAAATTCCCAATTTCCAAATGGCCAGTAACGCACTTGTAAACGCCTCTGATTTTTCAGGTGTCCGTGGGCGGCGCCGGTTGCTTACCATCAGGTGAACCGTCTGCTCGTGTACCGGCTTATCCCATAAAAAATACGCTAAAAATAGTTTAATCAGAGATCCAAGCACGAATAATTATCGCATTTGTAACTTTATAATATCGAGCGCGTTTGGCGCTCTATACTATCTATACTCTGATATTGAAAATTAGTTCTTAATGTACTCACAAGTAAAACTTTTCGTTCCACACGGGGTTCAATTCCTGAGGCATAGTTCTTGTTCTCTTCTTCACTTTGCTTACTTGGACGGTAACGTAGGGGTCTGAAGTTCCACTCTTATCCTTCGCGATGAGGCCTTGAGCACAAATAACTGCCCACAAAGGGCCAATTTAGTATTTTATCATCATATCCCGGAATATATTATATTATCTTAAATATTATACACGAATATATTTCAGCTGTATTTATTTTTCGCAGGTCTATTTTTATTTCTCAAAACGTAGATAGCTTGCAGAAATAATATTTCAAATACTCAGTTCCAATGGATCTCTGCGCAAAATAAAAATAATATAGCAGTCTGTACCAACCCTGCGATACGGTTGAGTAAATACCAAACGTATTTCTGGTAAATCTTTCGAAAGTGATATACATTCATCGTTGTTTTATTGCTACAAACTCTTTTCTCATGTAACTACGCAATGTATACGTTACATTACGCTTAGATACTCCGCCAGGAAGCATTATTAGCAGTTAAAGCTAGCTCCAACTTACCTAAACTAAATAAATACCTTACCAAGCTATGAAATCGTCTACCTTACTTACCAAATCAGGCATTCTGTGCTAAAATCTCTTGAAAATCTATGAACAGGGTTTCGTGTGATCAGAACGGGTCGGGGTCAAAGAAGAAGACACTAGCTTCAAACTACCAAACTTTTTATCTACCTATGCCCAAATTCGATTTCTAAAACAAGTTGAACATAGCGCCTACATTATCGCAACTTCTAATGCAAACTTCGACCAAGAAGAAAGTTTCAAAGAAGTATAAAGATATGCGCGGGAATCAAGTCTAATGGCATTGGAATTTTCACGAATCGAAAAGTTATTGGCAGTAACAGAGAAGTAGAAATTTTCGGGATAATTGGGGTCCTTCATTCGGCATGCTATTATTTCTTCTAAAATTTCATTCACTTACAAACGACTACTGAAGTATAGGTTTCTATCGTCGTCGCACTGAAAATTAAACTGGTTAGTGTGTGAAGTGATGCCCTATCACCATTCGTGTTATAGTGAACGAGCTTTGACAATCCACTCATTGTAGTATTAATTTATTGTTAATCTGTGACTCTCATGCAATTTGTGTCAATTTAGCAGACGTGCTGCCGAGTTGTGGTTTTGCAATCATTTAAATTAACGTGGTTTGAATCGTGTCTTTTCAGTGTTCAGGGAGTATAAAATTTGTGTGCGTGACAAGAATAATTGAATTCGTCTTATCATTTTAGTTCAGTGATGTGTTAGATTCGTGGAATTTCCTTAGTGTTAATGAATAAATAAAGCTACGTTTTTATCGATGGAAGTGATTAGAGGCGGTGCATTAACGACCGTGATTTTTCGGGTATTTGAAGTATAGATATGCAATAGATTTCTTTTTTGATATCTGCTGAAGCTGCGGCTTATAGTTACTGAAGCATTTACGTTTTTCAACTTAGCATTAACGCTTACTCTTGTACAACACAATTACGCTTTTGTATTACAATAATAATGTTACGAAAATCATAATTTGAAGCAGATATCAAAAACAAGGGAAAAGAGAATTCAGGCGAAGAGTCTGTCTAATAGTATCAAAACTGCGAGCGTGCGGGTCGTAGCCGCAAAAGACCACCGCAAACCTGTAATGGCGATCTTGCAAGACCACTTTGATGTTCCTTCTATAGTGACTTGCTTGGCCTGTTCTAGACTGTCAATGTGAGTGTCTGGGTCGACGTTAAAAGTCCGCCTGGCCGCCACATGAAACGAAAGATTGAATACAATTTAGTGTTGTGTCTGTATTGTGTTTTATGCCTTTCCGATGCTTGCTGCCTCCCTGCCTGGTACCTAGATCCTAAAAGGGAAGGTTAGTGCATACACTGTACGTCAATCGAACCTGTGATGGCGATCTTGGCGCTCCATTTCGATGTACCATCGAGGACTGATTGCTTCACTGTGCTCATGTGCGCTCCGTGAGGGTCCCCATCGATGCTGAACACGCGTCTGTCACATACACATTCGTGTCAGCGATTGCTTTCCGATATTTTCAATTTACTCAACGGCATTTGATATGATATTAAACATTACTTTTCATGACGTTGTCAGAAACAGCTCTTTTGGTAGCGATATTCAGTTATATAAATGGATTTCAAAGGGGGTGTTATTACGTGCAGTTTAGCTATTGCAGCCTTATGTGATTGTTTCAATTTAGCTAAGTGAAAACAGGCAAAATGGTGTTCAACTTTATTATTATTGAGTTAGATAAAAAATTGTATACCTGAATCCGGACCATTAAAAGCAATCGCCGAACAAAGTTTTGGGTTTTAAATATTATCGTAAAACAAAATATGGAAGTGTCGTTACCTGATTAGTTCAAAGATTTCAGGTTTGTCTCGTTCACGTTGTTTCATTCGTTCTTTCATAGCTGTGATGATGGAATTGGCTTTGTCTTCGGCGCCATGTTTGGAAGACTTTTCAGCCGCCCCTGCGAAACACACTGATCAGGCGGTGCCAACAGTTCTTAGAAGTTGCGGGATGCGCCGGGACGGCCCCCCGCCCCGCGCCCACACCCGCTACGACCACTCTTGGCCTCAACCTGACAAGACTCCAACTTCAATAAGTAAATTTCGCAAAGTTTATGTATGTCAGATCTGATCAGGTTATCGACGTCGAGCGGCGCCGGCCGGAGCGGATCTGAGCACGGCGCCTGGTAAACAAAACTCAATACAGTTCAACGCATTGTTCTAAAATAAACTCATTGAGAGAATTTTTATTGGCAGCATATTAATAGTAACCGCATTACATCAACAGGCTGCCAAATATCTCCAAAAGGCGTTAGAACTGTATCGCACACTAAAACACCCTCTGTATTGTATGTATCAGTATTGTTTGTTCGTCCATTTAGATTTAAATTTAAACGAAACATATTATTGATTTGGTATCATATATACAAATTGACAATTTAAGCGTTGAACATCCTCAGGGATTTATAAGAGAAAAACATAAAGACAGTAAAATTAATACAGAAACGTGGAACTCTATAAATCATAGGAAAATAAATAAACTAAAGGACCACATATAATATAGAAGTGGACAGACACTGGATTGCGTGCACACATTGCTAACAGGCACATCGTAACAACACGTTGCATTTGTCGGATTTGTTTGGGCGTTCGTGTTTTTTTAGAAGCTTCTAAACCGATTTTTAAGAAAAACGGTGTGTAGGAGATAGTGTAAAATGTAAAGTAGGGTAAAGAACAAGTACATAACACAAGTAATTTAGTCAAATAGGGCTTTAACAAGTTTCGGCGCTGGGCGGGGCAACTCGAAAGGTACAAACGGATGACAGGACCGGAACCCTATCTACACAAGCTACATGTCCACACTTCAAAAGTATTGATTAAGGTTAATTCAATAAATAATTCACTTTATAATGAAGATAAGTAAATAAAAAAAGATCAACTGAAAAAGAAAGAGAAATAAGAGTTGAAAAGAAATACTTACGTCGGCAGCAAAGAACATAATAACCATTCCAATATCTTTAAAAAACATAAGAAGGAAAAATATTAAAATAAAAGTAGAAGTAAATAAAAGTTGTTAAGTAAGAGTGAAAATTTAAAAGTTCAATAGTTCATTTCAAAGTGTAGACTGGTATGAAGATGGCGTGCAGTCGATAATTACTATTTTGTTAAAAAACAATATATTGTAAAACGCGGTTCACCTAACGACTGCTCGCCTACATGATCGTGCAAATGTTATTCTAGAACCGAATATTATGGGAATAATAAAATTTGGAATATAATAATAACTGTGTATCGCACCGATAGCCATGCACACCGATAAAGCAATGGTCAAATTATTAATTGGAAAGGGAAAACACATCATGCTATTTCATTATATGAGGTCAGAGTAAACATGAAGAAAAAGGTAGATAAATAAACACCACAGAAACAAAATTACAACAACGATAAAAACAATAAAGAAATGGATTGTTCCTATAATTGCGTGAATCCTGGTGATGTCGCTAGTCGTGTTTTTCTGACGAATGGTCCTAATTGTGTTCTCGTACGTGAAGATAATGTTTGATCACTGATGTATAACGATCAATACATGCAAAATTTTGAACACATGCACATCAATACTAATAATGCCAGTAAATTTTACTACGACGACATTCTGGATTTTGAACCATTTATTACCTTTTAACACAGACATCACCTAGAGAGCGGAATCTAACAAATTAGGTAAACATCTAATAGACTTACATTAACATTTAGATATTAAAGAGCGACACTTCATTTTTAAAACGTAATAATCAAATATCAAGAATGCATAGGTAGCTATTAAACTACAAGATTATCTAAGATGTACCGAACAATGGCCATAACTCACAAAACTGATTCCTAACAAATAGATAACTCGCATTTAGGGTGATAAATCTATGAGTTTATTATATCTAGTGTGGACTTGATCAAAGTGCGGGCACAAAGGTCATAACTCTCGACAAGACTTGCTCTCCATTAAGTACCATTGAAACTCCCTCAGTGTAGGGAACTTACGGACGAACTGCCGCTTCGGAATTATGTAACAGTGACTTTATTTGTACTCTATTCTGGATTTCATTGATATATTCCAACGCTTAATGTCCCATAGCATTTTTGAATCACAAAAGGATATAGTTAAATCCAGCGTAAGTGAATCTTAAGACATCAAAGGCTTAAGTGTCTAGACTTACTTGATAGAACACGAATGCTTGAACATTACGTAAATAAATAATTAAATTACATAAAGCGGAATGGCCCACGCTCTCTAAATAAGGCTCAGCGTTGAGTACCTACAATGTTCCTTAGACTGTGCATTAAATATTGATTTTCTACTGCGACGTTGTGTATCCAAAGATCTTGTCTACAACGAGTGACCTGTCAAGTGCTTCTTGGCTCACTTCAGTTTAATAAGGAGGGAACTGCGCTTCTCAGCCGACTCTAAAAACCTAAACATTTTATGCTCGTTCAACGTTCATAAAGATATCAATGAAGTGACGCTCTTTAAAATTTTAAATTTATTTTTAATCACAACATATTGGTTATTGGTGTTTGTGATTTAAAAGCTGTACATTTATTATTTGGGTTGATTGGCAACATCAATATTTGTGTGAAGAAAGTAAGAGAATTGTGATAGAATCATCAGTTTAGTGATGAATATTTTAATATTTACAGACACAGTTCAAAAAACAAGCGGTTATTCTCTTACCTGCTCACACTGCATTGGGGACACAACAATCATTTCTTAGGAATTTGTTCCATTATTATCTGACATCTTTATAATATTCTTTGTTAGTAGTTTTACTTTTAAATAATATGGAAATGAAACAAATCCCAATCACTTATAATATAAGTATACCCATAGACCATCCCAGGGCTCCACTTACTCTGAAGACAGTCGGCATTGAGCAAATCCTTGCACTTTTCGTGGCACTTGACACCACATTCAGTGCACCTTACACCTTGCCTTGCGATGCCCCAAAGTAGGCCTTCGCACTCGTAACAGTAAGTTGGCGAGGTAGCCGTCCAGAGCACGAAGTTATGAGGTGTGGTCGACGATATTGGGTAGATGAGCGCTTGCAGAGTCTTCTTGTATACGTGCATTTTCTGAAATATATCTCTTAGCTTAGAATTTGGATGGAAAATCCTCACAGAAATATAATTTGGAATCGACTAAGTACTTGGCAATGAGTGAAAAGTGATTATTTAGGAACTTACCAGTTCTTCATCGTTCAATGTGGCTCGATGTACAGCTGATGTCAAACCTGCATTCCTCTTCGTAGCCGCCATTGTCTAAACAGCAGAAGATATATGAGCATATGGCATAAACATCTCATTCATCCTCAGTATGTACATGGCACTGAGTGTTGTGTCTGCTATATTCTAATCAAGCGTTGAATTGCCTACCTAACTACGTTATTTTGAAAAGTAACTATTGTTATTTCTCTAGAAATTTAGAATGTGTTGTATCATTTGCAAATTGAAGCTACTTACACATGCTTTAACAAAGCTGTTTTTAAGCCTGTCTTCCAACGAAATCATATCTACCGTTTTGAAAATTTCAATTTCATACCGACGACAAATTTCGTTTGATTACTTATACAAATAAAAATAATTGTTGGTGCGTGTAAAGTTAAAATGTGTGTATGTGATATTCGGTACAACACTGAAACATTATTACATTTGAGGGATCATGTTTATTGATGTTGTGATGAAAAAGAATTTTCAGTCGCGAAAATAATATTTGCTGTGATATTGAAGCTTCGCAATGAAAACGAAATCGGCAAGCACGTGCATGTTCCCAGTGTGGAATTCAATATTAATAATTTGTTTATGTATGCTGTTATGGTGTAATGCAATCGTAAGATGTAACACAATATTGTAGCTTTACCTTTTATACTTAACCATCTGAAATATGATCTAAAGCAGAAACATGCAAAGGCCAAATCAAATTCAATCAAATTTCAATGCAAGCACACTATGTACAGTGAGTGAAAAGTAAAAAATCTTGAAGAAATTTTATCTTTTCACTGTTGTTTAGAACTGCATGCATAGAATAGAAGTTTTATTGGGATAGAAATACCTTGAGAACCTGCAGGTCCGTGGTAAGGGGGTAAAATGCAATGATATTATTAATTTTTATCAGGAATTAGAGTCGTTCATTCGGTGACTATGGTCCGCTACTGTAGTTTTTGCTCCGGTGACCCCTAATTTATCTTTTACACGGTACAATAAGGGTTGGATTGGTATCTAAGAAAAGGTTAAAGGCCATCTAAGTAGTAAAGATCAGAAGGAAAAACACAATACAGGTAACATTGAGACATCAATGAAGAGAGAAGGGATCGAATAGGCCTCACTTTTGTTTTTTTTTTTTTTAATTGGAACAACATATTGGGAGCTAGAAAATCAAGTGATAATTACTGTTTAACCACAACAATGTTTCACAAATTGTTAAAAATACGTTTCGTTCATTTAAATTCAACGACAAAACGCAATTTCCTTTAACATTCTCCCCATAAATTGTTCAAAAACACATAATATGGAAATTCCGTGTAGAAGAAAACATTTATTACGCGCCTAATATTACTAAGCCTCAGGAAGCGTACGTCGATGCGAGCTGTTAACATTTACGACCAGTTTCAAATATCTACCTTCTATAAGGTACAGATAAAGGCTTATTATGCCAAAATAACCCTTTTGTAGCTTGTAATAAGCTTCAAGTCAATTTCAAGATAGCGAATTGAAACCGGCCCGAGAGAAAGATAGCTTACTTCCATGAGATTTGTAATAATAGATAGGTTTTGTTAAAGATAAGAAAAAATCCAAACGTTACTTACAAGTTCTGAGACGAGGGGGATGGATTTTCTCCTTGGTCTAATGTCCGGCATGCTGTCAATGTTGCTGTAGAACGGATTATCCGTGACGTGCCTATAGAAATAGATTTTTTTAAATAATTGTCTTGGAGTCATTTTACGTACCTTGATTGTAATAGTAGGTATATGAATGGTGTTGGTGTAATACATAGTCATTGATCGGAGATAGTAAAATTGTTAAGTCTCTGTAAATTCACATTGAAGGTTAAATATAAATGCCAGAGTGCAAGATATTTAGTAAGTACTTGAAACAACTGTATTTTTTATAACTTTTGCATGTTTCAAATTCATTTCAATCTATTTTTACATAGTTCACATACCCATTTCCTCTGCCACCTTGCTCGTTGAAGCCACCGGATCCATTCTAAAAACAAAAAAAAAACAACAATAAATAAAAAACCTAACAACAAAAAATAAAAAGCTAACAGTTTATTTAATAAAAAAAAATATTACAATAACATAGTGATTAATTTTCTATGACAAATATTAACTCAGAGATATTTTCATCAAATTAAATGTTTTTAGTTCAAACTTTTCTTTGTTTGACACTGAATGATAGACAAGATGGTATAGTATTTTTTTTAAGCCTGGATCGAATGCCTGCTCCCGCCTGGGTGAGGCGGGAGGGAGTGTCAGACTCTTACTGACTAAAAACCACCCCAGTCCTTCTCCTGCACTTCGAGCCGGAGCCCCGGTTACCCGTTAGGTTCTCCGCGATAGGCTGTATAGTATAAAAAATAATTTGTTGGATATTTTCCAGTAGAATTTAACATACCTAATATTTTTTTTGCAACTGAACGTCCAGGTTAAGATGTAATAGATCTGTTCAGATAATTTCTTTACTGAAATTTTACATAGCTAACGATACTATTCGACTTGGGTGTTGAACCCAAGATCATCAGTTTGAATGAACAAACATACTTACAAAAACACATTTTCTTCTGTCATAGTTGTATTAGTCATAGAATCTTAATCATAACAATTTAACGCTTATAATAAGTTACATGGAGAATTAACCTCGACATTTAAACACAATTAATTAATAGTATAGTTAACAATAGTAGCTAATAGTAGTAATGCTTGGGCAGTTTATGATTATCATGAAATTTTCGACCTTGAAAACAACCCTAAGTTCAAAAAAATTAAGAAAATTTCGAAGCAAAACTCAAGTCATTGTTCCAATTCAATACAAACATGTAAAGAGTAAAAATATGCAAAATTCTTAATAAAATATTTCGCTAAAAATTACCTAACCTGCCCATAAATATATAATAATTATATTATAATTCTACGTAATATTTTCCAACATCTAAATCTTTCCGCTAAATAGTTTGGGTGCCAGCTATATATTAATGCAAGTGTAAATAACTATATACGATTACCTAAGCGATGCGACACCTAATAAATACAATGTATGTATTTTTAATCTAATATGAGTACCTATTATAAATATCTTTCGATGAAAATATTTAAGTGAGAAAATCTGTATATATGAACTAGTATTATTGCTTTCTGTTTTCATAGTTTTTGGTGATTATTTTATATTCTATTTTCTTTTTATCCCGACTACGGTAAGTGTAAATAGCTATTACCGCTTTATTTGTTTTTAGTGCAAACTTTTCTTGATAAAGGGTAGCCGTAGATAAAGGCATTTTTAACTAGAATGAAATAAAACGAAAGGAAACTATTTCATACTTTGTAGTATTAAGTTTGGTCAAGTAATAATGTTTGGATGTTTAGTTGCACTCATTCCATGATCGAGGCATTTTTATATATTGTATTTTTCTACAGATTATTTCATAAACTAATGCCAATTGTTTTCGCAAATCTTGACAATAACACAATGTGTTACTGTATACAATTGCGTTTTAATCTGATTTTATATAAATTACAAAAAATAAACTGTAAATATAATTTACGTACTTTTTCCAGCAATTAAATAAACCGTAGTCGGGTACCTAACCTGTTAATATTGCTTATAACTTGAATATATATTTCATATCATATAGAAAATAGTGAGTGTTAGTAATTTGTATTCATGACTGAGAATTATCGTTTATTATGATTACAGCTATAAATAAAAGGAACTCTCTGATATGAGATGATATGACCATGAACGAATTTTGTACGACAAAATGCTCCCCAAGCCAATATATGAATGAATTTGATTACAGACAGCAAATTCATACAACTCTAACATTAAAAAACAATCTCTATGAAGCAACGAACACATATAATACTGAGTATATATTCAATATCATGTAAAGATTACCATATTTTCCAAGTACAAATATCGTTAAGCAAACCTTTATTAAAATTTGTATAATTTTTGGTTGAATATTTTTCTCAAGCGTTAGTAAAAATTGTTTATATATATAGAAAGTTCTTAGTACCCTATTGCATTGGTTATATCTAATTATTGCCTCAATTAAATAGAAAGAGCGTCAATAGTAATATATCATATAAGTTTATTATAGTGTATACGAGCACCCTATTCTATGCATTCAAATACATATTTAGCAGTATATGGAGGAAAAGAAATTGGTTGAAATATATCTCACAACCGCAGTTAGTTCTTTAGGTCGAAACTACCTAGTATAGTATCAAATAAACACTCTAACAGATCCCTGCATTCGGGTAAATTGAAGATCGATTGACTTGTAGAATCTTTTACTGAGTATCGTTAAAATGGACGACTATCAATAACAATTACACGTCCTACTTTCTATTCTAAAACAGATATATATTACGAGTAACTTCGTTTTATGAATTTTAAAGCGGGTTATAGTATTAGCGATGGCGAGTATATCAGTCTAACTATTAATCATTTCAAATAACTGTGGAAGTAACCTGCACCTTATAAATACGTCTAAACACCTTATATTTAACTCTTAACTCTAATCTCATGAAACTTTTGCATAAGGTAACTTACACCGGCGCTGACTTTGTCCTTTTCAGTTGACGGCGTCGTGGCTGCCGGCGTCTCCGACGTTTTCTCCTCAGCTTTGCGATCTTTTAGGGCCTTGAGAAGCTTCCATTTGCTGCCGACAGGAGCATCTTGTTGCGGCCGCGGATCCTCACGAGGTAACGGTAATGGCAGTTGTATCTGTGGCATATCATAGTCATCATCCAGTTCATCACCACTTTGAACTGGACTGTCAGGTCCAGAAGTTTCACCTGAACCGGAGTAATCAAGTGACTTATCATCACTTGAATGTCTGTCTTCGTCCGTTGTCTCCTCGATTACAGGGAAAGTTGTTACATCTTTCCAAGAATCTTTAGTTGGAGATTCGTCATATTTTTGTTTCGTTGTTGCCGTTTTAAGTTTTAGTTCGCGTAGCACAAACGACATTTTCTCTTTAAGGACTTCACTAGAATATTCTTCTTCGATTTCTGGTTCTTCTGGTAAAGGTTGGTGTCGCTCAGTCTCTACTTGTGACTGATGCTCCATTTCTTCCAGCTTCCTCAATTCGTAACAATACCATTCGTCTTCAGAATCAATACTGTCTTCAGTACTTTGTCGCCTTGACGATACTCTGGAACCACTTCTCCAAGAATGTGTGCTTCTACTATCGTCATCATCATGTTTATTTGGTATTTCCAAACTTTGCTGATGTCGCGGTTGAAACTTGTTTGGTAAGCCACGAGTACTTTGTATAGACGGACTTCTTTCTGGCAAGTTATGTGGATCTTCAGCACTCAATGTCACAGTACTTACTACCTCAGGTGGACTGGGTTTACGTACTTTCTTTTCTTTTTGCTGATTCATGAATTCTTCATTTACCTCTTCTTGTTGTTCAGCCTCTACTTTTGGTGGTGAAATATCGGCAATATGCTCATCTGACACTGATGTGGACTTACGCAAGCGATATTTCCCTAAAGCTCTAGAAACTGCGAATTCTTGTGAACTTCCACTGTAAGATTTATTACTTTCACTTAATCCATCTTCAGTAACGTTAGATGACTTTTTCACATCTCCAATGGTAGCAAAAAGTGACCCAGGAGATGTATCCCCTTTTTCATCTTCTTCAAATAGATCGACATTTGAAATATCAGTATCAATATCTAGTTTTTCTAGTTTTGGTATATTATTTTCTTTTTTCATCTGACTAACTCGAGCAAAATGAAAATCGATGTCATCACTTTTGTCTCTTGGAATAACGTTCGTAGCTGCAGTTAACTTTTCTGTTTCCTCAATAATACAATCGGGATCGTCTTCTTGATATTCTCTTCCATGCTCTTGAATGCGTTCTTGTATCATCATCTGTTGTTCTACAATTTCCTGATTATTAATTTTCCTCTTTGGTTTAGTTGCTACTTTAGGAAACATACTACCGTCATGCGTAGAATCCGAAAATACACTATCACTATCTTCGGACTGGGCACTTGATCTACCTCCAGACCATTCAGTTTCTGATGTTTCTGGATCTGATAATGACTGATGACTCGCTTGTTGTTTCCTTCTAGCTTTTTGTAACAAGCCGGACATCGAAGCTACCAAATGATATTTCTTTTTCCTTCTCTGAGCAGATAAAATGCGTTCTTTTAATGATTTTTCTTGCTGTGGTTGTTCTACATTGTCTACGCCAGAAGGAAGCGAATGTGATCTATGTTTCTTTGGTAAATGTAAATCTGGAAGCCAATGACTCATTGATGACATTGCTGATTTCAATGATGATGTTCGTTTTGGTTTCTTAGGTTGTTTGTCTTGAGGTTTACCTTTGAAGTTATTAGATATTGATAGATAACCCGATTCAGATACTAGTATACCACTTGATTCTACATATTGCTCCTTTCTAATTTTAGTCTGATCAGGCGCTGCTTGCTTATCAAAGTCTTGGTTTTCATACATTACATTACCATTTCGTTGATCATATTGCTGTTGTTTGAAATATTCTTGTTGTAGTTGATTTTGAAATTGTTTTCTTTCAGTTATACTGAGGGAATGAGATTTCAAGCTTGAAGTTTCCATTGAACTGGTTGGCGATCGACTACCACCTTGCCACGATATTTGATCTTCTAAAGACGTTCTTTTAGGTGAATCATACCTTGTTGAGGTTGGATAATACGACAGAGCATCAGTAAGATTGCCTGGAGGATATCCAGCACGATGTCCCTTATAACCATTTTGATAAAAATGTGGATCGTTTGCACCCATCGTATTCGCTCTAGTCAAGGGTCGTTTATTGGTATTAGCCGCCGACATGACAACAGTCTGTGCATGATAACTAGGTTCCGGCGGATAAGAATCTGCCGCAGGCCTTGCAACAGATTCAGAAATTTCATTTCTATCTAATAATTCGGAAAAACTCCTATCTTCAGATAACATTCCTCTCGGCGTACTATACACAGTTGTGAATATTG